AGGCAACGGGAAGCTGTGTTTAGAACATTTAAATATGTTTTAGATGCCTAGAAGCCATAAATGGAAGAACATGATATAAAATGAGAAGAGCAGACTGATTTGAAAAAGAATCAAATAAAACATTAGGAAATGAAATATATAAGCATTGAGATGAAAATCTATGTTAAATAAACAACATATTAAATATAGCTCATGGAGAATAAGTAAATTGTAAGACTGATCTGAAGACATATATCACAGAGAGATGAAGATCAGCAAAACACGATGGGAGTAAGAGACCTGGCCGAGAGTGCGAGAAAGCCCAATCCACAGAAGTAACAGGAGAGCCAAGAGAACTTTGAGGGAGAGGTTGACTGAGAATTGCAGGAATTGATGGATGACCTAAATCTCAAGTTGGAAGAAACACTTCAAAGTGGTGAAAGAAAAGAACAGTCAGCCTTCTAAGCAGACTGAGTTCATGAGGGCTCTCTCACTGCAAATACATGGAAACCAATATTCAAGGGGGAGAGTGGAATGAAAACATGTTCACACAAAGCCTAACGGAGCTTGCTAATGTCAAACCACCGAAAAGCGCGCTCCAGTGACAACAAAAGCGAATCTTCAAGAAAGCCTAGGTGAGTAAAACCAATGTGTTAAAACACATACGTGAAAATCTAATTAGTCGTTGATTATAAAAACCCACTAATAACAATAATTATAATGACAAGCTCAACTTGAGGTCAAGTGTAACTAAAATACTAATCAACAGTTGGAGCAGGCTCCTGGGAGGCATTCAAGTTTTGTGCAATATCATGCAGAAGGGCACACACAGAGATTAGTTTCATAATCTCACAAGTCAGGTGGGTGTATTGAAATTTTATGTGTCACCAGTGAAAAGAAAGACTAAAAATGTGTAATTTTCAAACATGTCAGTGGGGGAAAGAGAAGAAAATATAAACTAACCAACATAAAACAGGAACTGAGAAAAAAATTAAAGAAAGATCATGGAAAATAGAAAAGACAAAATTGGGTGGTAGCAATAAACTGATAATCATAATAAACACAACTGGATTAATTGATGAGTTAGAAGACAAGACTGAACATAGGAAATTTTATAAAGAGTTATTAAAATCAATTAAAAATTATAGTTCTTAGGAATGCAAATATATGCAGTAAAAGTATATAAATAGGAAAGCAAGAAATTATAAAATCAGGATTCAAGATGTTGTCCTATAATTGGGAAATTCGGGTGGCAAAGATGAGGGGTACCAAGTGATTGGCCATACAGGTGTTTTTCAAGATCTTTTGTTTTGTTTGTGTTTAATGACACATTAATGAGTGCTAGGTACTAAATTAACTACCTAAGTTACCAAACAATCAAAATCATGGCATTCAAGGACCATTGATGACAGTGTGTCATGAATCATACCAAGGATTGTAATTAATCCAATTCTGTACATAGGATATCCAAAGGAAATAATTTTTTAGAAAGTAAAGGATGGGAAAGAGGTACTAGGCTAATATTCTCTAAAAGAAATCATTCATGATAAAGAATTTTTGCAAATGAGTAGGGAATATTCTTAATGTTTTGAGGATAATTATCAGAAACACACAGAAAACGTGATTTTTTGCCAAATCATCAGATACATCCATTCAAAATTAGGAATAAGAGGAGGATGACTATTAGTATGACTTCTGCTCCACACTGTGCTGCAGAGATTGGCTAGTGCATCACAATTAGAGAAATGAGCAAAGGAAGAAATAAACTCCTTATTCACAGTAACAGGGTTATATAAAGATGCAGGTATGTTTAGTTCTCAGGCAGAGCTGAAAAAACAGATGGAGACCTGTTGAGAGCAGCCACTGGAAGCAGTGGGGTCATGTGATGGACTATTTGTGTGTCCCCCCCTTATAGGCATATGTTAAAATTAACCCCACAACGTGATGGTATTTGGAGATGGGGCCTTTGGGAGGTAATTAGGGTCAGGTCAGGTCATGATGGTGGGATTAGTGCCCTTTTAAGAAGCTTGCTGTCTGTCTGCCCCCGTCTGTCTCTGACCCTTGGTTTGTCTCTCTGTCCGTCTCTCTCCCTCCCTCCCCCAGGCACACAAAAGAGAGGTCACGTGAGCACAGAGGAAGGTGCAGTCACCTAAGCCTGAGCTGGTGCCTGGATGCCGACCTCTCCGTCTCCAGAACCGTGGGAGATACGTGGCTGCTGTGTGAGCTGCCCGCCTGCCCTGTGCCGGGGTGGGGCCCGAGCCCTGTGCCGGCCTGCCAGGCCCGGGGCGAGGAGCAGGAGGGGAGAGCCACTGGGAGGGGAGAACTCCTACACCAATTGAGTGGACAGACTGTTGCAGAGCACGTTTACGTGACGCATGAACTCAATGCTCCCAGTTCAGGGAAAACAGGGAATTCCACTCAGGACACGTCTTCACTTTTTAATATTAACTTACTTTCTTCTCTCTGCTTCCCTGATCCAAATAGTAATTTATTTCTAAAGCCCACATGACAGCAGTCTGTAATATACTTTCTTAAAAAATTGAGGTAAAAGAAAAAGTCCCCCGAACACTTTAACTTAGGAGGTCTCTCACTGCTGTCCAGCCCTCCTTTTGCCTCGTTGCAGAGCATATTCAAAGTTAGTGATAATGTCCCCTTCTCTTCACCTGATGTGTGTTCCGGAGATCACAGGGTCCTTCCCTCTCACTGCCACCTGCTGCTCCTCAGAAACCTGTGAGAAGTGGGCAGGCAAGCGCAGGGATGGGCCGAGAGGCCGAGCTCGGTGAAAGCTGCCCGTGCCCTGCGCCCCGCCCCGCACCCAGCCAGTGCTCCCTTCCCGCGGCCACCATGAGCGCCAGCTGCTAAAGACCCAAAGCCACCGCTTCTCGGCAGAGTTGGCCTTGGACAAGGGCAGCTGCCCGGCTCTCCGGGCCGCCCTCGATCCATGAGTGTGAGTGTGGACTCACAAGGCCAGCCCCTGGCCTCCAAGGAGAGTTTTGTTCCAGACACCCTTCCCCCAAATTAGGCTACAGCTAGACTCTGAGACCACATCTTGCTCAGCCCGCTCCTCCACGTGCTGCTGCCCCTGCTGCCCTGCAGTTGCCCCTCTGCAGTAAATGCCCCGGACCTGAATCCCTGCCCAGGCTCTGCTTCTCGGAAATGCACTCTAGGTGACTTCTCCAAGGCCCCACCCTGCAGACCTCCCTGGGCAGGAACTCCACCCCCGGCGACCTGGCTCCTGGTCCTTAATGTCCCGCTGTACCACATGGTTTGGAGACACAAGGCATGAGGACAGGCAACTTTCAGAGTTGAACTTTTGAATCTCAACTCACTCAAGGCAGGGACCCCTAATGTAATCAGCAACAGCCAATCCTCGGACCATTTGTGGATTTCATGCCCAACATTTCTATCAGATGATCCCAGGGCCTATCTTTAAGCCTACTAGGATGCAGAAATTCATCTTGGGCTTCTCGCAGCAGGTAGAACTTTCCCCCACAGCGAGGGAAATGGATGCCCTGCCTCAAGATGGCGTTGTGTGGAATTTGTAGGTAATGCTGTGCATTCGGTAATTTATCTCTGTGACGGGAAACTGTTCGTAAGACCTTTGTTCATAAGACTTCCTGGGCCACCCACTCAGTAGAGAAATGGGAAAAAGGAGAGGGAGACTTGGATCAAGAAGGGGCTCAGTCTGTTGAGCAGCTGCTTTCAGCTCAGGTCAAATAAATAAAATTTTTAAAAATAAATAAATAAAGGGGCACCTAGGTGGCTCAGTCATTATGCGTCTGCCTTCGGCTCAGGTCATGATCCCAGGGTCCTGGGATTGAGCCCCACATCGGGCTCCCTGCTCGGCGGGAAGCCTGCTTCTCCCTCTCCCACTCCCCCTGCTTCTGTTCCCTCTCTCGCTGTGTCTCTCTCTGTCAAGTAAATAAATAAAATCTTTAAAAAAATATAAATGAACGAGTGAATGAATGAATGAATAAAAATATAAGCACCTTATGTGGCTGGTGACCCAACTCCGCAGGGTGGCCTTGGACTTGGGACACAGATGGTCTGCAAAGCTGCAGACGTGACGGACAAGCACAAAGGGACTGTTAGGTGACCGAGCTCCACAGACATAGCCTGACGATCCCAGTGAAGCAGGACAGCACCGTAAACTCCTAGGGAGTGAAGCCCAAAGCCGGGGCTTTAACTAAAAACACGGGTGGGACATGAAGAGCATATGAAAGCTCTATCATTTCTATTAGCTTAAATTAGCTTAAATTATCCTAAAACAGAAGTCCAGGTTTTTATTTTTTATTTATTTTTTTTTGATAGAAAAAGACACAGCGTAAGAGGGAACACAAGCAGGGGGAGTGGGAGAGGGAGAAGCAGGCTTCCCGCAGAGCCGGGAGCCCGATGCGGGGCTCGATCCCAGGACCCTGGGATCCTGACCTGAGCCGAAGGCAGACGCTTAACAACTGAGCCACCCAGACGCCCCAAAAGTCCAGGTTTTTAAACCCTGACTCCTCACGGCTTCCTTGTCTGTAAGATGGACAATGATGGCGCCATTTCCCTGCCAGCTGTGCTTCAGAAATGGATGCAGTCTGCAAACAGCGCTGGTCGGGCACCGGGGAAGCGAGTGGGAAGGGGGTTGGCCCCGTAGGTACTGGTCACAGGGACACCACAGGCCCATTTACTGTAAACCATCAGCAGACCTCTATGTGCTCTTAAGGAACTCAACAGATACAGACCTTCAGGCGTGTGGCCATGGCAGCGCTATTGATTACATGATGGGGAAAGTTGTGCAGCCGTCCCAAAGCCAGTACCTACGAGGGATGGGCGCACGGCAACCCGGGAACGGCTAAAGGAACCAAAGGGAAAGCAGCAGCTTCAAACACCTGCACCTTCCTCTTCAGATGTGCCCAGGCCTCAGGTCAGTACTTGTTCCAAAACGCACCTAGTGGGACATGAAGAAAGACGTTTTCTAGCCTTAGCCTCCCCCGGGCACTTGGCCGGTGATCCAGGAAATCTGCAGCCAGCGACGATTAGACCAGTGCGGCCGCCGTGTGGGTCTTCTGATGGCGGATGAGGTTGCAGTGGCGGTTGAAGCTCTTCCCACACCTGGTGCACTGGTGTGGCCGCTCACCCGTGTGGCTCCTCTGGTGCTCGATGAGGAACGAACGCCGACTGTAGCTCTTCCCACACTGGCCACACAGATGGGGCCTCTCTCCCCTGTGGGTTCTCTGATGCTGGATCAGACCCGCGCTCTGACTGAAGGCCTTCCCGCACGCCACACAGCGGTACCGTTTCTGTAGGTTGTGGATCCCTCGGTGATTGAAAAGGCCAGAGCTCCGACTGAAGGTCTTCCCACACTCACTACACTCGTAGGGTCTCTCCCCGGTGTGGATTCTCTGATGGCAAACAAGGCCTGAGCTCTGGGCAAAGCTCTTCTCACACGCATCACACTTGTGCTGTCCCTCCCCTCGGGGGCTGCCCCACTGCCCCACTGCCCAACCCTCAGGGTCCCCGAGCTCTCCACGTTGGGGATCCTGGGGGGATTCCTCCCAGGTCTGTCCATAAAATATCTCCCCATGGGACTCCACTGTCTTAGGACAGTCTTTCCTCAGCACCAGCTCTCTGTCCTCAGCCTTGGCCGTTCCATCTGAAACAGAAAAGACCAGGCACACGTCACTTGTTCCCTGAGTCTACGGGAGGGTCACTGTGTGCGCAGAAGGGCAGGATGCTTCTAACCTGATGTGACCCCACACCACAGAGTAGCAAGGAGGTTAGAAACAGCAGGGTCAGTGTGGTAACACCTTCCTCCAGGTAACAAGGAAGTCTGGCCTCTTAGGCAAAACGCGGCTTAGTCCAACCTTACGTGGTCTGAGCCTGGGAAGAATTCCTTCTACATCTTCATGGGGAGGGGGGAGGGGTGGGTCAAGATCAGGGTGGCTGCTCTTAGGTCTCCCTTAGAACCCCCTCCCCACGGGGCGCCTGGGGGCTCAGGTCATGATCTCAGGGTCCTGGGACTGAGCCTCACATCAGGCCCCGCACTCAGCATGGAGTCTGCTTGAGATTCTCTCTGTCCCTCTGCCCCTAGCCCCATTCGCACACACACTCTCTAAAAAACAAGTAAATAAATCTTAAAAAAAAAAAAAGTCCCTCCCCCTTTTGAGGTGGGGAGCCTCACAGTGATCAGGGAATTCACCCCAGGTACTCATTCATTCCTTTATGGGACAAGTGTTCAATCCCGCCGTCCAGGGGTCTCAGGAGTACTCGACAACTGTGAAATCAGCACCACCCCAGGTGTGTTCCCCGCACAGACCTGTATGGGCTCTGCTCCGATGACAGCAAGTCTCCCTCCCTCATTCCTTCAAGTTTTCCCTCAGCTCCTACTTCCTTACTTCTTCTTACTACTGCGAGCACCTCACCACCCACCACACTCACAATCTCCCTCCCCTGCTCCTGTTCTGTCCCATTCCACAACTTACCACCTTCTAACACCCTGCATCACCTCCCAGTCTGTCCCCCCCTTGCCACAATCTAATCTCCATGACAGCAGGATCTTTCTGTTTTATTCCTTGAAATCACAGATGGCACAAGGCAGTTTTCGATAAATATTTGTTGAATGAATAAAAGAAAGCACTGAAACCAATCCACTACTATGGCCTCAAATGACAGCCCAGGGACGGGCACCTGAGGCAAACACTCCCGACAGAACCGGCCCATACTGGATAGTTGTCCAACCAACCCCATCAGACTTGGAGCAGTTGAAGGAAAGAATGGAGACAAATAGACCCAAACTGTCTAAACACTAGAGGGAGCAGCCCTGTGGTATCCTCAGGATGTCTCGGGCTCTGCAGATAGGACTGTTCGGGGAAGCCGTCAAGAAAACATGACTGCCAAGTGACCCGTGAGCTGGACCCTGACCACTGGAAGCGCCTCACCCCCTCCTCTGTCCCTGGAATGTGAATTCCACTTGCCTGCCCCATTCCAGGAGCCACCCCAAGGTCAGTGACAATGACAGGGGGCCAACACCATCTGGACAGTACACACGACTGAAGCAGGTAAGGTGTCTGTATAAACTTTCACGATTTGGCAGCTGGGTGTGGAGATCTACTCACATTGCTGCTACCCAGGAAGAGCCTCCCGTGTAAGCCTCCTTTGCTTATTAAAACCACCACCCACCCGCTGTCTTCAGTCTCTCCCTGCCCCCCACACGAGGGGGCTGGTTTCAGATTACACCTGGGAAGCTCCCAAGGAGCCTGCACACCAACAGATTTCCTCCTTGCAACCAGAGAGCCCAAAGAAATCAGCCTCCAGCCCTACTCTTTTTACCAAAACATCCAGCTCTTTCTCCCACATCTGATTATTGTCCCTCACGCACCTGACCAGGAGCCTTTGCGGACTCCTCTCTTATTAGACCACGTTTTCCTGCTCCTTTTAGCTGGGGGATGACAACAGGTTTGGAAAACAGAAATGCGTCTTCAGAGAAGAAACAGGCCACGAGTGGGATCAGTATTGTCCTTCTGCCCAGACTTCACACTTATATTTGAAATGTACAAGAGAACTGGGTAGAATATAAAAACAAAGACATTTCTCACCTTCTAATAATGACCATTTATACAGCCGTCCGTGACTAATGAAGCACTGTCACCTATGTTATCAAACGATGCACCACAAAACCCCCTGATGTTATTACCCCATCTCTTGAAAGAAGTGAATAGCAAATAAAAGATAGACAAATAGCTAGACAGACTCTGTACGTATGTAGAGAAAGTCTGGAAAATACACAGCAATTTGACAAGAATAGTTACTCCTAGGGAATAAAATTTGGAGAACTTTCATGTTTTAATACATAAACTTCTATATTATTTGGAATTTTTTTTTTTTACCATCAGCAGTTCTGAAAGAAACTCAAACTCAGTGATATACAAAGTAACCTTAAATGTTGCTTAGTTAAAAAAGAAAAATTGAAGGAGCACCCGGGTGGCTCAGTCAGTTAAGCATCTACCTTCAGCTCAGGTCATGATCCCAGCATCCTGGGACTGAGCCCCGCATCGGGCTCCCTGCTCGGCGGGAAGCCTGCTTCTCCCTCTCCCACTGCCCCTGCTTGTGTTCCCGCTCTCGCTGTGTCTCTGTCAAATAAATAAAATCTTTAAAAAAAAAATTGAAGAGCTGGAACTTGGATTTGGTCCTTGTAACCTCAAACACTTACTATGTTGCTTTGCAAAACTGGCTTTTCCTGAAGACACATACCTGCAGTGACAGTCCCACTAAGAGAACTCTGATTTGTAGATGCTTTCAGGATACTCTCCTGCGGCCACAGGAAATGCTTAATGGATGATTGGATGGAGGGAGGGAGCGATGGACAGACAGGAGGAAGGACTGGCTCAGATGTGCTTCCTGAAAGGAGGGGTTCCCAGTAGGGTTCTAGATGCAGTTTGGAAGGCAGAAGAAAGGAAAAGATGGCTGGAATATGAAAAGTTCAAGTTCACAGGGAGACGAGGAAGAAACGAACAGATTGCAAAGATGTTCATGAAGGAGGAAAATGAAACCAAAGGACTTTTTTTAAGACATATTTATTTTATATAGAGAGAGTGCACAAGTGTGGGGAGGGGCAGAGGGAGAGAGACAGAAAATCTCCAGCAGACTCCCCGCTGAGTATGGAGCCCTGAGATCATGACCTGAGATGAAATCAAGGATTGGATGCTTAATGGACTGAGACACCCAGGGGCCCAGAAACCAAAGGACTTATAATCTGATGAGGTCACAGAAGCCAGAGGAAGGTCTGTAGAGCAACAGAAGTCACTCAAAGAGATCTTTTTAATTTAAGTCAAGAGCTGTGTTCCAAGTGGCAGAAATCCAGGATAACCGTATGACTGCTGGGGGCTGGGGCAGAACAAGCACCGGCAGGAGGCAGGGCAGCAGGGGGAGTCCGGCTTCGATCCGGCTTCGATCCCCGCGGGGGTGGCGTGAGAACAGGAACAGCTGCACGCCGACCGTGGACGGCTAACCAGCAGTGAGAGGTGAGGAGGTCTGGTGTGAGCAATCAGATGGAAGCTGGCCCAGCTGTGGCGGGGGGGCCGGGACAGGAAGGCAGCCAGCTCGGCCCCACGTGCCCAGGACGGCACCCACCACAACATCACCTGCCGGGAAGGGGCAGAGGCTGGTTCCACCGGACTCCCCCACCCGGTCGGCCACCTACTGAGTGCGCGCGCAGCTTTGCCCTGCGAACGTCGGCCAGACTGGCAAAGGCGACCCTGAGGGACGGCCTGCCAAGTGCTTTCCGTCGGCTATTCGCCTTCAGTGCTCACAACCACCTTCTGTGGTGCACACTTGCTCGACTGAATTGTGTCATCTCTCTTCCGCCCATCACATGTTGAAGCCCTGACTGTATTTAGAAACAGGGCCTTTTAGGAAAGTAATTCAGATAATTAAGAGTGGGCCCTAATGCAAAAGGACTGATGTCCTTATAAGGGGAGGAGACACCAGAGCTTTCTCTTTCTCCCTCCCTCTCTCTTTCTCTCCCTCGCCCCAATAAGCACGTGCACAGAGAAAGGCACGTGTGAGAACAAAGCAAGAAGGTGGCCGTGAGCAAGCCAGGAAAACAGGTCTCACCAACAACCCACCCTGCAGGCACCTTGATCTTGGACATCCAGCCTCCAGAACGGTGAGAAGATAAATGTCTGTTGTGTGAGCCCCTCAGCGTGTGCTAGTTCTTTCATGAGAACCCGAGCAGACTAAGGCAATGCTATGATCAACCCCATTCTGGAGATGAGGGAACTGAGAGCAAATGGTTAAGTGACCTGCCCGTACAAGCAGCTTCCAGAGGCAAAGCCATGATCTGACCCTATTACACCAATTCTCTAAAGCTGCTGCCCACAGTGCTTCCTGGAAGTCTCCCTGGGGTGCCATGTGCCAGGAGACCAGAGAGCCTCCAGGATGGGACTCGGGGGGGAGCCTGAGTGTGGGGCAAAGGGACACAGTGAGCACACTGTGCACTTGGAAACCCGGAGCATTGCTGTCACCTGGCAAAGGGACTCCTGATCCCCTGGCTCCCTAGGTCTGGGCTTTTTATTTGTTTCTGCTTGACAAGGGGAGCTCATATGTTCAGCACCAGAAAAATCCTGTCCCTCACCTGTCTCTCCAATAGGGTGGGGCTGCTGAGCAAGTGTCATGGGTGAGCTGGGATTCCTCAGGCCGGGACTGGAGGCTCAGTGATGTCTGTGCTCCCAGAGGCACTGTCTCTTCAGGGAGGACTTCTTGCCCCTGCGTGTGGGCTACCACCTGGAAACAGAGAGATGAGATTTGACTTTTGAAGAGAAAACTGTCTAAAGAAACACTTCCCAGAAAGAAGCAGAAAGCAGGATTAGAGTTAGTCAAGGGGGTATAAAACAAAGGATTCAAGGGTCACACATACATACTTTTTCCTGGCAAATCTCCCTTCCTACCTCATGTTGAGGTTCATCGAGCTCTCTCTCCAGATCCTCCAGCAAAATCACAGCCTCTTCCCCGCTCTCTGGACAGTGCTCCCGCACCCAGGCCTGCAGCTCCTCGGGCAGGATGGTCAGGAACTGCTCCAACACCAGCAGCTCCACGATCTGCTCCTTTGTGCTCACATGTGGCCTCAACCACTGGTGGCAAAGCTCCTGGAGTCGGGTGAGGGCCTCCCTGGGTCCAGGGGTCTCCTGGTAACACAGCTGTCGAAAGCGCCTTCGGAAAATTTCCCTTGCCAGGGGATTACTACATTTCAACCTGGATTCTTGCACTTGGAGGCGACTGTACATCTCCATTTTCACTGTCAGAAGTTCTTCCCAAACCTCAGGAGCTTGCACATCCAGGGGTAAAACCTCCTTTGAGTCTGCATTCATCTTGTCCTTGAAGAGTTTAAAAAGCACCCTCCAGCTGGAGCTACGTTTTAGAAACACCTTTGAAGACTCCCTCCTAAGCAGTAAAAATCACCGTTTACATAGAAAAATGGCAATAGCTAAGTGTAGGCACTGATTATATAAGCAACTGTCACAGGTCCCAGGCTCTTCACTGAAAGTCGTCACTTGTGGACCAAAGGATGGGAAGAATGGGAAATATAAGGTCGTAATGTGCAAAAAGCATACACTTTCAAGTCACTCAGAACTGGATTTTATTCTGGCTCTAACATTTACTAATTGTGTGATCTTCAGCCAACTTCTTATCTTCTTTCAATCTCAGTCTCTCGATGTGAAGAAATAGCAATAAAAATACCTTACAGCGCTCATGGAGAAATTAGGGGCCACACAGTTCACTCAGAATGGTTAAAAAGCTCAGACTCTTTACGTAAAAGTGAAATTAGACAAAGAAGAGATAGAAACTGTTCTTGTCTTTGATTAATGAATGAACTTACTTTCCTGGGACTCACGCTTTCAATACCACAGTTCATGTTCACGTGACCCTCTGAGGTTTGATAACAACCGCTACTTCAGGAGATAAGAAACGGATGTCAGGGGAAGTAGGTAGGCTGCCTAAGGTCAAGTTCTTTACGAGGACAGTCCTTAGAATCCACAGAAACCCAGGCAGTGCCTGCGACCACCCGTACGTCTGCACAATGTCAGGAAGTGCAGCCCTGAAGCTGAATTCCCGCGGGACAGGCGCTTGGTGGACTCGCAGGGAGTGGGCACCCGGGCACGCGGGTGGGGGACAGGACCGGGAGCCCCGGCGCACGCGTCTCCAGCAGGCTCCCCGGGAGTGCGCGCACGCCAGGGCTCCAGGATCCCGCACCCGAAAGCCCGTCCGCTCCCAGCCCCTTAACCCGCTCTCAGAACCAAAAGCTGAGGGACTGAACTCTGCGCTTAACTTCCCCATGCCCGAGGCTGTCAGACTCCAGGCGTTTCCTGCCCAGGCCGACCTGCGGCCGCTACCCCCGGGGACGGCCCTCCAGCCTCGCGGTCCTCCCAGGCCCTGCCCGCGCGATGTCCCCAAGCCGGGACGACGCGCCCTCCGCGGGCGGAGGCTTACCTTCCACGGCCCTCTCCCTGCCACGCCCGCCCGCCCCGGGGTCCCGGCGCCGACTCTCGGGAGCGGGACGAGGCCGGGAGGCCGAGGGTCTCGGCGCGGCGTCGGCGGGAGCGCGCCAGCCTGAACAATGCGCCGCAGCCAGGAGGCCGCCCGCCGCGCGGGGCGCTCGGGGCGGGAGCACTTCCGGGCCGCTCTAGGATCCCGCGTCTCGTCTCCCGCCTCCCGCGGCGGAGCACGTGGTTGGAATTTCGCGCACGGAAGCGCCCGGGACACGTTTAAAGGGAGGAAGCGCGTGCAGCCTCGGCCGTTGACTTGAAAATGCTTGTTTTTAAAACAGTACCTATGATTTTTTAAAATTCTCAGGCAGTGCCAAAATTAATAAAGCAAAAGGTGAAATCCCATCCTGTCCCTCCTTAGTCCCACTTCCCTGGGGTGGGGTGAGCTGAGGATTCGCGCGTGTAATTCCCATCTCTCCCTCACAGCTAGATAGACAGGCATGAAGCTATTTGACATTTAGCTTTTTCTCCACTTATTTTAACGTTTTCACTTCACGTACTTAGACCTCTTTATTGCTCATGTAGGTCTAACTCCTTTGGTGGCTGCATAATAGTACATCAAGCACATGTACTGCAATTTATTTGTCCGGGCCCTGGGTCTTGGTAGACTTCCCTCCTTCCTTCTGCTTTCCTTCTTTGCTCCTTTGCTCCCTTCCTTCCTTCCTTCATTTTTTGCTATACAGAAATCTCTTGGAATTTTAGTGGGAATCCAAAATCAACTAAATTAGCTTTTTTAGTACAAAAGAGCATAATTAGTACTGTTAGTCATCCATCAATTTTATCATGCCAACCAGAATGATGGTATTGCATAAATTATGTTTCTTTTGTTTTTAACAGAACCTCATTATTTATTTTATCACAGCAGTAGGAAAATATCTTGCATGTTAATGTAAATTCTTTGATGCAGTGTTTTAACTCCAAAACCATAGCTTTGTAAATTTCTGTGATTGTTTTACTCAAACTGGCCATCTGAGGGCATTAAATAAGGTCAAGTTTCATCCTTTATTTTAATTTCTTCTAAATATCCAGTAAGTGTATAATCTACCAGCATGAAGAAAATATGCTCAAAATCCTGATCACTTTCTTCAACACACTCCCAAAGCCCTCAGTACAAACTTTCCCAACAAACTATATAATGACTGTAAATTTTCAGCTTTTCTTTAACTGGAATACCATTCAAATACGTTATTCTCTTGCATTTTGGATACCCACCTGTGACAAGTAAACCGTTTCTATTTGCATGAAACTCTCAAATGTGTCACTGATAGTTGATTAGGCTCTCTAACTGGATCATGTGTGCTCCTTAAGTAGGTCAACTATAGCACTCAGGCAGCCTCCACCCTAGGATCAAGTGGATAGTGCACTGGACTTGCCTGTAGTAAACAGCTCTGAGAAAGACGGGCTCCCACTTGCCTGTTTGGAGGGAGATTCCCCTATAGCAAGAGCAGTACCTTGATGATTGTCTTGGGACAGAAGGGATTACTTTTTACTTAGATTTGGGAATCTCTACTGAAAATACTTAAAACACCACTCAGCTCAGACAAGAAGAAATGCTGACTACAAGACTAACTATAAAGATTGAGTGTTACCTGAATCTGGAAACAGGTATACTGGGATTGTGACTCTTCTGCAAGTTATGTCATAAGCTTAAAAAATATGAAGAAGGAGGAGGAGGAAGTGGAGGTGGAGGAGGAGAAGAAAAGGGAGAAACAAAAGGAGAAGGGTGGAAGGAGAAGAATTGGAGAATTGTTAACAAAGAGATTGAGGGGACTAGCTGGTATGTGGATAGACCCAAGTCTAAAAATACTTATGTCCCATATGAATCTTCACTAACCCAAGATAGTTTCAGTAAGTGGGCAAGCTGATCTGCCCTATGGATGTCACCAGCCAGTTCTAAACCCTAAGTATGATGTAATATCCCAGGGGGAAAAGCAGTCACCTGGTGGCGAGTTGATTACATTGGACCCTCTCTATGGTGGAGAGAACAAAACATTGCTTCAAAGTAATAGACACTTGTTTTGAACTTCGATTGGCTTTCCGTGCCTACCATGCTATCAGTATTGATTGGATGAAAGTCCCACTCACACCAGCCCTAACTTAGTTGGGCATTAAAATGAAATGTCCCCCCACCCCAATCTGTACTTTCAACTGGGTTCTTGAAATAATCCTTCTTTCCTGTCCTTTAGTGATATCTTGGGCAGATCCCATAGCTTTCTGGTCAATTTTAAGTATCAAAGATCCCATTCAGTTTATTTTTAATTTGAAAATTTATTACCTATTGAATAAGTTATATAGCCACAGATTCAAAATTTTACAAAAAGTTCAAAAGGGCATACGTTGAAAAATCTCCCTCTGATTTTTCTCTTCTGTTGAGTTTGATAATGATATTGTAGTCCCATAGGAAAATATCCTTATTTTTTAGATGAATACTGAAGTATTCAAGAGTGTTATGTGTAATGTCTATAATTTACCTCGAAATACTTCAGCAGAGGGAGAAAAAGCAAATATGGCAAAGTGAATAATTATAAATGTAGGTGAGTACATGGTGTTCATTCTATATTACACATAAACCTTTGCAAGTAACTGGGTTTCTGAATTCAGATTTTCTTAAGACTAACGAAATTCAATCCACTTCAAGATATGCCCCAGATGACCGGTGCGCTGGGACGCAGCACCCCCAACGGCTTCTCCTTCTCGCATACGGACAGCCACGTGCCCAGCCCCAGAGCCAGGGTCACCACGCTGTCCAAGCCTGTGGCCGTCTTGGCCTCCAGAAGGACCACGCCCAGAGGTAAATGGGGCAGCGTCCGAGCAGTGGGCGCAGGGTGGGCTCGCAATGACGTGGGCAGTGACAATCCTACCTTCACCCTCTCCCTGGCCAACGCACCCTGCGCGCGAGTCCCCCCCCCCCAACACACACACACTCCGGGGCTTTCTGCGCCCCAGCGTGCAGCCCTCTACATCGCTGGGGACAAAGCCCATCTCAAAGGTGTGCAGCACTGGGAGCTGGTGCCCATCGAGGTGTTGGAGGCGCGGCAAGTGAAGACCAGCTTCAAAATGTTGCTGAAGGCTTGTTTCCAGGCTGTCAGGCCGCAGAGTCGGGCCCCGCCTCCTTCCCCGCACTCGCTGCAGGACTGAGTGGATCCAGATCCACAAGCCGCCGCGGGTGTAGGTGGCGGTGGAGCTCCTGATCTCAGGCTCCTCCGTCCTGGTGAGCCTGGTGGACGGCTGGGACATCAGCACCCAGCTGCTGGCCCTGGCGCGGCTGTTCTGGGACCCCTTCCACCACACTCAGGGGGGCTTCCGTCCACTGGTAGACGAGGAGCGGCTTCAGCCGCCGCGGGGCGCACACGCTGGCCCGGCAGAGCAGCGGCTCCACGCCCGGGGTCCTGCAGTTCCCGGCCTGCGTGCTCCAGGTCCACCTGCAGTTCCCCTTGGAGTTCGAGTTCAACCCCTTCTACCTCAAGTTCCTGGGCTACTCCCGCGCATCCCGCCGCCTCCGGACCTTCCTGCTGGACTGGGACTGGGAGCGCCCGGAGCCGGGGCTGCTGCACCAGGAGAAGGGGGGAGCGCAGGGTCAGCCGGCGTGCAGGCCCGTGTGGGACTGCGTGCACGAGCCGAGCGGGAGGATGCGCGTGTTCCACCGCCACGCACCCGATGACACGGAGGTCTGGCGGCCCTACTGCAGCGGGTCCAGCCTGAAGGTGTGGGATTTCTACACCGAGGATTTGGAATTTTTTCATTTGACTTTCTTTATGGTGGCTTTAGTTAGGTATACAGAAATTTTTAAGTTTTTAGTTAAATTTACTAATCTTGTATGCTTT